TGAAAAGGCACAGCGGCAATGATGTTTTTTGTCATTAACAGATAGTTACAGGTGGATAGCCCTTGTCAATAATAACAATAATTTGTCAAACTGTGACTTACTTTGAATTTCCTTTCACGAATTTGCTGATATGCGATTAGTTCAGGGGAAATGCTACAGTAACATAGCAGAAACTGAAAGAACTCACGCCAACGAAGGGGGAAGAGAGTGGTTCCAGGAAGATAGTGGACGATAGATGTTCGGGTTCCAGGCACAGAGGAGCAAGTATTGGACATAACTGCAGCAGAGCCTTCCAGGGGCACTCAGAGCACAAACTGACACTTTCCCAAGCACCAAGTAAATACCGAGGAAAGGCGTTTGTACGATGCACACAGCACAAGGAGATGCAAATGGAGCACTAGTTAATTAACTGAATACGAGAAGCTTAATAAGAGTGGATAATAAGGAGATTACACACGCACTAGCTTATTTGGAGTTAACGATTCAAATGTTTGGTGTTGTATGGAGAATTTATGTAAACACGAAACTCCGCAGAATTTGAGGTTATGAGAACAGGTTGACATTTCGTCAACAAATCTTGTTGAATTTACCGCTTATCCTTTGTCTATCTTATTGTCAGTCTCTATAATTCCATGGTTACCGGAGTTTTAAACAATTACGAAGCAACAGGTATTTGTGCAATGTTAATTAGCCAGAATACCTTGAAAAACATTGCAGTCGTATTTCTGATATAGTTTTTTGCAAATTTATCAGTTTTTAGTAACAATTAATTTCTTTTACTATTTTGTCTGTACTCCTATAACAGCGCCAGACAACACCTCCAGAGAAATGACGCCAATTTTGAATCAGCCTGTACTATTTTTTTATCCTCGGTGGAAACTAGCCGGGAAAAGTATAAGGTTTTGAAAATAACGACTTTGAAAATGTCAAAATAGTCAGCTGACGTTCAGTGACAAACAGTCAAGCTGTCAGCGTGCGAGGCGAAAGCTATTACTTTCCGATATATTACGTATATTACGATACAAGAGACGAAAGTCGAAGTTCCGTCACTGCTTGAAGTTTTCGGCTTCGCCTCGGCCTTCATGCACGCATGTTTTGAAAACAAGGCTTTGGAAATGTAAAAACAGTTAGCTGACAGTCCGTGACAAAGTCAAGCTGCCAGGGTGCGTGGCCAAAGTTATTACTTGCCACACGGGATGAAGAAAATGTATAACGAATAAAAGTGCCACTTTCAAAAACGAAAAAAAAAATCGAAGACAGTCGCGAAAGTACGTACTTTCTACCAGGGGATCAATAAAAGATAATTTTTTATTTAATAAATTTCAAAATTTATTCGGATATGATGCACAATAATTAAGTGCATATTGACCCGATAAGTCACACCTTAACATCATTCATCACTTTATATCGTTGGCCAAGCGTGCATTCTTTTTTCTCATTACTTTAACCATATGCCAACCTATTAGTTAAATACAATTTTATATATTTCAGGATACAGCCCAGCGAGGTGATGAAAACAGTCTTATTATTGAAAGAATCCTAATTCTAATCAGAAACATACTGTATGTTCCTGCTGATGTCATGGAAAAAAGACCTGATAATGATGCTAGTGCTCATGACCAGGTAAGGTTTAATATTTAATTTTAAAGAGCAACTTTTTTTGTTGATCTATATCATGTTTTACATTATGAGGTAAAGAAGGGTGCTTGTGCAGAGTAGATATGTTGCATTCATCCTCAAAATATTGCACTGCATAAGGAAACAATATTAGTTCTGAAATAAGTGTGAAAATGTCATATTATTTTATGATTAACAAGAGACTAGCTTGTATAAAAGAAACAATAATAAACTAGTTCTGACTTCGTTCCTTTTAAATGGAAGAAACTTTAATTAAAAAATATGTTCTTGTCGGTATCGATAAAACGCATTGTTTTTAGCAAGACCTGGATTTATTCATGTCGGTTGATTTTTTACATTAGAGGTTCAACATGTGCTCATATAATATGAATTTCCTTCGAATCAAATATTGATACATTCTCCACAAGACTAAATATTGTTTCTAATTTTGCGACAAACAAATTGTATGCCAACTACAAAATTTTCACAGGAGTCAATTGAATCGGCATAGTCCAAGCTACTTTCTTGCTTCAACATCCTTGACCTGCTGTACTCTAATGCATAAAACACATACCACATCGTATTTCTAAAATTCATTCTTGTAATGCCGGTATTATATTAAGCACTTTTAACCCCACCAGAGGAAATCTATTGGAGTTGAGCCTGGCTATCTAGGAGGCCATTCAACAGTTCCTATTCTTCTTATCTACCGACCGAGAAAAATTTTATTAAAAAAAGAACGCACAATAGCAGCATAGTGTGGAGAAGCGCGATCTTGCTGGAAAATCAGTTCTCCGTTAGGAGAGTCTGACTCTAATGGGTTTGGAAATAAAGCCACCAATGCTGGGATTAATTCAAGTTGGAGACATTCTTGATAAGCTTGTCCAGTTAAAGAATGTTCACAGAAAAACGGTCCTACATATTTCTCTTTCGAGCACTTTCACATTCCACATCACACATTAATGTTTTTGGGTACTGGCTGTGAACCTCCATCATTCCATGCGGATTTGCTGTTTCCAATATTGACAATTTTGTCGGTTCACGTAACCATTCAAACGGAACGTAGCTTCTTAGGAGAAAATAATGTTCTTTACTAATTAAATTTGTATACTTTTGCAAGATTCATTTCGCCTATTGCAATCACCTTCAAATAACTTTTGTACTGGAATAACTTTGTAGAGATGATATTTGCGCCTTCGAACTGTTAGGTGAACAACAATTTTGTACGGAGGCTCCAATCTACGATAGAGAGAGTACATGGATTTTCATTCAAAGAAAGTAAGATGCCAAGTTGTTCATTTTCATCTCCAGTGGAATGTCCACATGTAGGCAAATCTCTTACATGTGCAAATTCTCTGAATTAAGCTTCGATTCTAGTCCTATCTTTTGACATATGTCGATTTCATTAAACGGTTGAGCTGCTTCTATTTGGGTACGTGTTCTATCACCAAACCCACCAATGCACGTAATTTCGTAAATTCACCATTTTCAAAACCGCAGATGTAAAAATTTGACATGTCAGAAGTAATGTGGCATACGGCAGCAAAGCTATCTATTATTTAATTATGCTCTGGAAACGTTTAATTTTCAATTTTGTTATGTTGTTCAGGCTTAGGGATTAGGCTATTTAGGTGTAGGACATGGTACTTGAAATAAATTTACGTTAAAAATCTAGTTTAAAAATGAAAATTTACGAGCTTTTTTGAAAAAAGTCCACCACTGAATTTTAGTTCAATTTAAACATGACTTCTGGGAGTCACTGTAGCCATACTGGTATGGTGCAGACTTTTATATCCCTAAATACAAAACTCATTTGCTTATATCACGTTAAAAGATCTGTCTGTAGTGAAACGATACAGCAAGTATTTTAAATGGCGCATTCGAAGCAACTTATTTCTATCTATACATATTTGTGCTAGGCTGGAGTAAAAGTTCAAGATACGTTTTTATTTGATGGCAGAAATGTGGTGTGTCGGCTCGAGCGTCAAAATGCGGTGAAATAAGAAAATGCTTAGAAAGTTATTGGAAATGCTTGAGCGCCATCCTAAGTTAATTTACGTGGGTAAGGGTCCATGCGGTTAACCTTAGAAGTGGCTTTTTATATGATGAGGAATACGAATATATCCAATGATCTTGTTGAGAGGTTATCACATAATATCATTCGCAATTGCGGAATCTACAAAAGACTATTTAGGTAGTTAAAGCTGTGTACGTGATCTAAGATATCTTACGGTTAAAAGCTCAAAGAAAATTGTACATAATATATCTGAACTTTAAAACTTCTCTAAAAGCAATCAATCAATCAATCAATGATAAAAGTATGTTTCCGCAAAAGAGGACGGAGAGTATGTAGTCCTATCTGAAATCTCAGTTTAAATTTTTGTAGTTTTAAACTGACCATCAATTTAACAATTCCCGTTTACTGTTAGAAATTGCTTGTCGGTTTATACAGGGTGTCCCTTAAGCACATTATCAAAAGGATACTGCAATATTCTTTGCATCAAAAGACGTCGATCTCACCCCTTTATGATCAAGAAATGTCTGGGTCCTCTGCTATTGATGGTCAAAGTTCTTCAAAAAAATTATCTTTTTTGAAATATCGGAAGAATGGTACGATGTATTTTAGTGAAACTCTCTGTGAATTTGTTCGTATATCAGTTTATTCGTTTTGGACAAGTGGTGAATTCTTGAGTGTCGTGGTACAAAAACTACCAGAACTTTTTATTTGATGGATGAAATCAACTAATTTTTTTTGGGTTGATGCGCTAATCATTTATTCACAATTTTGTGCTTTTTGTAAAATTTTGTAGCATTCATAGATTTTGCGAAAGAAATATTTCCGTTTTCTGTTATGTTAGACATTAACTGCAAATATCGTTATCAATCAATCTCAGAAATTCGTTTCGAATGACCTTTTCTAATGAAGAAGTGACCGACATGCTCAAAGTATTGGGGTTTTGCGAAAAAATTTGCGTGAAAGCGTACGCGTTTACGCGGCGCATTTTTGCAGTTAATGTCTAACATTGTCTTCCTCTTCTTCCAACAGTTCCTAGCCGTTTCGGATGCTGGCTATCATACATGCTATTCTGACCCTATTCACTGCTGATCGAAAAAGTTCCGTCGTATTCAAAACAAACCAGGATCTGAGGTTGTTCAGCCATGAAATTCTTCTTCTACCAACACCTCTTTTCCCCATTACCTTTCCCTGCAAGATGGTTTGTTGTAAATGGAATCTACTATCATTTCTCATGATGTGTCCTAAGTATTGGAGTTTTCGAATTTTCACAGTATTCACTACTTCATTTTCTTTCCTAACATTGTCAAGTGGGAAGAAAACAGACATATTTTTTTGCGCAAAGTCTATGAATGCTCCAGGATTTTACAAAGACCGCAAAGTTGTGAATAAATGTTCATCAACTAAAAAAAAAATGAGTTGATTACATCCACCAAATAAAAAGTTCTGGTAGTTTTTGTAACACGACACTTAAGAATTCACTACTTGTCCGAAACGGCGGAACTCGATTGTTTCATAAAAATATGAGTCTTACATAAGAACAAATTCGCACCGAGTTTCGCCAAAATACATCGTACCATTTTCCCAATATTTCAAAAAAGATACATTTTTTGAAGAACTTTGCCCATCAATAGCAGAGAAGCCAGACATTTTTTGTTAATAAAAGTTAGGTCAGATCGTCTTCTTTTCGTACAAAAAATATCGCAGTACCCTTTTGATCATGTGCTTACGGGACATTCTGTATATTGTCAGATCGCTTGAACAAATGTAATTTTTATCGATAACTTTTGTCACTGACTGTCAGCTGACTGTTTTGACTCTATTTTCAAAGCCTTTTTTTCAACACCTTATACTTTTCACGGCTCGTTTCCACCGAGTATCAAGAAAAATAGTATACGGTACGCGAGACGAAAGCCGAATGCCCGCCACTGCGTGCATGACGTATGACACTTTAACAAACCACTTAGCATGTTGACGAATATTATATAGGCCTTAAAAGCATGGGACTCTATCTATTTCTATTGATCAAGTTTCGAAAACATTACATTTTTAATCCAGTTGTCTACCGCATTATCTAGACAGGCTAATTCAGAAGAGCGACAACGAATCACAGTGCCGTGAATAATTTTTAACTCAGAGCGCAGAAGACAAAATTTGAATATCTCGTATGCCTTTCACTCTGACAAATTTCTAGTTAAAAAATTTTTTTGATGAGGTTCTTTCTGAAATAGTTGAACTTTTTATTTCATCATTTAAACTCACATCATCATTCATCATTTAAACTTACAAGTTTGAATTATGGTATGGATATTTGGATAACGTTTTGCCGTGGACTCTTTTGTACAGATGAGGAAATAAAAAAACGCGCCTCGTTTTTGTTTCCATTGGAACTATTTTTGAGAATTTCATCAAGACAAAGCCGCTAAAGATTATATTTTATTTAAACACTTTTTAACCGAGCCTGCTTTTCGTCATTTTCATGGTACACGACAAAAAATGCTTATTCATACATCTTTAACGTGTACGCATACTGTTCAGTTGTCATAAACAGGTATGATTGGAATCTGAGGAAATATTACGTTGACCTTTCCAGTTTATAATTAATTGAGGTATTAACATGCTACTTCCTTGCCTTAAAGGGACAATTTTATTTACAGAAGAAACGTTCAATTAAAAAAAAATAGATATCGAGAATAATTATTAACTTTTGAGTACGGAAGATTACCTCTTGAAGGTCTTGTCGACATCCACTTCAATCCATATTGAATATTTCGACTCTTGCTTAACTTTGTTAACCGAACATGTTCAATGAGGAAAAACGGTACGTTTCAACAAATTTTTGTTAAAAAGCACAACAGAAACCAGGCATTTGATAGCAAACGTGCCAACGTTATATACTACGTATTGGGCAAGTTCTTAATATGATCCCTTCAAAATTTAAAATGTCCAACAATTGTCAGAAATGCATCAGGATTACTTGTCGAGCGGATTCTCATCGTAAATATGCAATATTTTATGCAGTAAATGTCGATAAATATGTTCACACATCTGTTAAATATATTTTATTTATAAAACAGTAATGTTGTGTTGTGTGTAGACACAACATAAAAAAAATGCACACTAAATTATACGAATTCCGATAGTGCTTCTGAGATGGCTAAGAAATACTTGCAATGATATTTTGAAATCTTTGTCTGTTCTTTCCCCACTCGAAGAAGTATTTCTTCTTAAAGTACTCATTAATTGGATGTTTAACTTTATTTTCCGTATACAAGAGACGCCAACAGACAAACAATGTTAAATTTACTAATAATATTCACAATTTAAGGCACATTTGAAATTGAAAGCTTTCTATTGTTGAGCTTTAATAATTATAAACACAAGCGTTTTGGCGTAATATTTGCTGAGAGTAGTTAACTTTAATAATTATCGGCTAAAATTGAGTACCTCGGATCCTTCGAACAGTTTAATTGGTAATTAATTGAACGTTTCGTCGATAAATTTGTACGCGTTGTCGGCGTTTTGATTTTACCGGGAACTAATAATAACATACATGCATATTAAATATACGTTATTATATTTCTCCTAAGTTTTCCATATACGCTCGTTGAACGGATCAATGAACTACTTTTTACTAGACACTTTTTCGGAATATTTCAATTGTGGTTTCTTCTATTTAGTGAGGCAGTCGATATGTATTAGGATAATAATAAACATCTATGGTTAGCACGTAGCTTAGCGCGAAAAATAAACAAACGTTGAAGTGAGTTATAAATAACAAAATATAATTCTCATATTGTTAACTTTTAAAAGCATTAAACAAATAAATGTACATGGAAGTCTTGTGCCTGCTTGCACCAAAGAAGTAAAGCCGAGCGTTACCAAGCCTGGATTAAAAAAAAGCTATACTTAAATCAACTGTCCATGCATCATAAAACTTTTTGTCCTGCTTTAATAATTCTTGCTTATTGAGACAATCGAACTATTTTCTAATGCAGACTAACTTCATTCAATCTTCATACGAAAAAAAATATAATTCACGGGGAAAAACGGGTTTCTAGGAATTACCGCGTAAGCTCATCTCTTTTGAAAACTTCCTACATGTAGCGGTATCTAACTCTAACCCCGGAGCGGGCGACTTGTTGCGCAATTTGAGAATTCACATCTGGCGCTATGAAGTAAATAAAAGCAGGAAAAGCTCGTTTGCCAAACTTTTCTGTGAACGACATTCAAAAATCTGCAGCTAACTTTTATTAGTCTTTGTAAAAATATATTCCAAAAAGTCAACTGGCTTACTTTTTGTTAGAAGAAAATACCTGAGAAAACAAGAAAAATATAAATTTTGAAGAAAAAAAGAATTAATTTAAAACTAAACTTTAAATTCTAAAATTCAAGAAATGTGTTTTTGGAAAGGACAATGCCACGTATCCGATGGAAAGTTTAGTCGTGCTGTATGCAGAGGGAGTTGGTCTTTCAAATGACGGTATTTAAAACTGAGAATGCCTTTAAAAAATTCAATGTATTACATTATATTGTACCGTGTATGGCCGAGTATCAAACTCTTTCTTCAGCTTCCAACTTTTATTCCACTCGGTATAACTTTAACTACGGAACAGGAACAAACTAACTTCAAAATTATAGTCAACTTCACAAACTATAACAATAACAGGCGGAAAACTCGCTCTTCGGACTCGCGGGGTTTAACCTCTTCTGCACCCGGTCGCTGCTGTCACTTCACTCCCCTCTGGTTCTCGTCGCCGCTTATATAGTTTTCTCCAGGTAACTCGGAAGGTTCTCGAAATCTCCAGACCAGGTGCGAAATTTCCCGCTTGTCAGTGTCATATTTGACAGTAAATGGGGCGCAAATGGGGCTCCCATTTACTGAAATACCATGAATTTCGATCCCCCCATTGCAAACGTGAGTACCCCAAGCCATTTCCGTTACAATATTTATACTCCGTACTAGGGATGGGACATCGATCCTATAACATCGAAGGTAGACATCCAAAGGTAATATCGTTTGACAACATCGATGTTCTGTTTCCATCTAGTATCAACATCAAATGTCTTGATGTTTTCATTTCAGGATCTTCTTTTTTTTCGATTTTTATCGATGTCCCAAATTTCCAACATCGATGGTAAAAATATCGAACATCGAACGAATTACATCGATGTTTGCGAAACATCAATGTTTTTCTCCCATCCCTCCTCCGTACACTATAACTATGGTCGCACGTCATCAATCGTCTGTCGAGCGTTGTTGCCATGATCGCTTGATATTTTCCAATGCCCAAAATACAACAAAAAAGATTCGAGTTTTTCGACACACAAATTTCATGCATAATTGTTTTTATTTATTTTTTATAAAATTGTGCTCATTTACAAATTAAGTTCACGTGTCCAAACGATTTTTAAAATTTACCTTTTTATTCTTTCCACACCTCTAGTTACACCGTATATTATGATGTACATAATTGAACCGATGTCTCGGGATTCCTCCAGCTATATTTTTACATTGAGTAAATTTATAACCATAATCAGAATTACTGCTGCCAACTCATATTTGATTACCTATTTCAGGTTCTTTGGGCTTTGCACCAATCAGGTATACTGGATATAATCCTGTATATAACCAGTTCAGCGAGCGAAAATGCGTATTACTTACACATTTTGGAGATTCTATCGTTCATGTTGCGTGAACAAAATGCTTCCGAGCTTGCACAGGCCGCATTACAAAGAAGCCAAACGGAAAAACTGCGAGATGAGGCTGAACTGTTGGCCATTCGGAATAAGGAAATCAATGCGCGTAAGAAAAAGTCCAAGGTTTTCAGTGGAACCAGGTAAGCGTCCTAGTTGACAATCAAATGATGTAATGATCTATAAAACTCACGAATGTTTTATTGTTGAACAAACATCAGTTGTGAACAAGAAAATATTAAAGTATTGGGTCCATTGGTTAAGTGTTCAATAGTGGAAGTGCGACATAGCTTCTTGACTCAAAGGGTCCTTAAATGCAAAATTCTTGCACCGTTTTCGACCTTGTTCTCTAACGGCCATTTGCACCAGTCTTTCTTAAAAGTTATTCTTAGCTAGGGATAACTTTGGATTAAGGTTAACCCTAACTACAGACAGCTTTGCACGGCTGTCAATTAAGTGAAACTTAGCTAAGATGAAGTTTTACCTGGCAACATTGCTGAAAGTGACAAATTTGCTTTTGCTCCCGCCTTTTCCTTCCAAAATAACCTTTATCTTAGAACTGAATGCGAGTTTGCCGTTACTGTTTACGTCTCAAATGTAATTAATTAATAATTTATTCTTAAAGATGGAGTCGTTTGAAAATAAAAACGGACTAAATTTTTCTTATAAGGAAAAACCTTAGACTCCCAGTTGGAAGCGAACAATGCTATGCTATGAAGAGGAGCTTCAAAACGTTTTAGCCAATAGAGAGCAGGACGAAATCATGTTCGGGTTTCGGAAGGAAAAGTTAAAATTGGAATACTTAAAAAAGACTTAAGCAAATAATGCTATTTTCCATTTGATTTAGTAATGCATCATAAGTTATTTCAATTTAATAATGAACTTTAATTTAATAATTTTGGTCCTTTATCAAAAGCATTACTTTCAATTCATCGCTATTTATCAATGAATCTAAAATAGGATTAGTTAAGCCCCACCTAGTTTGATTCCCTTCCAACAATATATTGTTTCTGTTCTATATGTCGCTTATGTTAGGTACTTCATCTTCTTGCATAAGATGTATGAAGCGTTAAACATCTTCATGATCAGGTGGCTGTTCCTCATTTTGCTCTCTACTCAATTATTTTATTATTAAGACCGTATCTATTTTTAGACGGCAACCGTATGCAAGGACTGGGAATCCTCTTTTCTAGATACCAAATATCCGCTCAATTACAGGGTGATTCAAAATTGGCGTCATTCCTATGGAGGTGTTGTCTGGCGCTGTTATAGGAGTACAGGAAAAATAGTATAAGAAATTAATTGTTATTAAAAACTGAGAAATTTACAAAAAACTATATCAGAAATACGGCAGCAATGTTTTTCAAGGTAATCTGCCTAATTAATATTGCGCAAATACCTGTGGCTTCGTAATTATTTAAAACTCCGGTAACCATGGTATTATACAGACTGACAATAAGATAGACAAGGATAAACGATAAATTCAACAAGATTTGTTGACGAAATGTCAACCTGTTCTCATAACCTCGAATTCTGCGGGGTTTTGTGTTTACATAAATAATCCATACAACACCAAACATTTGAATGGTTAACTCTAAACAAGCTAGTGCCTGTGTAATCTCCTTATTATCCACTCTTATCAAGCAGCTTCTCGTATTCCGTTAATTAACTCCTGCTCCATTTGTATCTCCGTGTGCTGTGTGTATCGTACAAACGTGGTAGGAATGTAGCCGGTATTTATTTGGTGCCTGGGAAAGTGTCAGTGGTTGTGCAATGTTCTGAGTGCC